CCTCTCTTTCACCACGGACGATTTTGACATCGTTCTTTGTTAACAGTTTAGTTACTGATCCCATAAACTCGCGACCGGGATCTACTTGAAATAGCTTAGGCCATTTTAGCGGTCCGCGTTTATATATGCGACTCAGTGCATTAGCTACCTCTGTTGATTCTTTCGATGTTAATGGCTCAGCCTCTTTGTATCGACTAGCCACATCCACTACTGTTAAAGCGTATTTATACGTTTTGCGTTTTACCTTATCGTGGGGAAGAAACAAGAGGTCAGCCTGATGAACTTCATTCGTTGTAAAAATATCAAACTTCTTCCTCGGTATATAACGCGGTGCCGGTAAATATATTTGCCACATCGCTTGTTTCTTTAACCAATCCTTGGCCACATCTTTAGATACCTTAGCCGCGGTGGCTAATTTTTTTATTGCTCCTACACCTTTCCAATATCCTTGTGGGCTATAGTAAATTTTATCCATTATTAATTAATATTGATATTTCGTTTAATACAAATCTGGCTACAGTGGAAGTGAGCCAGAACCCTTATTACCTATAAAAATTTATATCATTGGCCCCAGGTGGTGGTGAACTGGAGCCAATTTAACTTAATCTCATGACTATCATTAAATCACATAATTCATTTTGACATAAAAAATTCCATCTGTAGTAACATTATAGGTATATAAATCCAGCTACAGTGGAAGTGGTCCAGAACCCCCATTACCTATACTACTCTAGCTCCAGTACTTACATAACCACTAACATAACAATAGCCACTTTCACCTATACAGTCACCAACAGCACAAGCGTCTTGCTTTGTTTTCCTTCCCAGCTTCTGTATTGTGTAAGTAAAAGGTTTCTTCTGTTTTAAGCTGGTTTTTAGTTGGTCACTGAAAAACTTAAAATAGTTGAAAACATAAACTAGTTCTTCATAATAAGTATACAAGTTATATCGATATCTTCAGATATTCGATACCTTCCCTCTTAATTTGTTAAACACTTTAGTTAAATCAAAACTAAATCTATAATCAATTTTAACTATTAATCATTACTTAAATACCATCTAACTACATGTGTGAATGCAGTATTTATGTATGTTTGTAGATTATGATTGAATGGATACATATGAAAAGGTCATTTTACATGTTCTTAATTCTATTGGCCATTTCCTTTTTCCTATGCGGCCTTATTGTTTCAATTTTTCTAGAATATGGCAATCGATGTTACGATGCCTGTGATCTGCCAACGCCATCTGCCAGTTGCCAGCTCATTGTCACACAGTGGTAAGTTATGTGTATATTCTGTGTATATTGTATTTATAGTATGTTTATATCATGGCAATTTGTAGAGGCGGTATTTATGTAACCGTCTTAAGTATTTTTAGTTGTAATTTGGCTTATAACCACAAGGGTAAGTGTAACTACTGCTCAGCATGTTTGATACATTAATGTAAAATATCAAGTATAAATAATGTTTATAGTATGCATAGCATATTAAATTGGATGAGCTGTTTATGCATTGGTGTGTTGAAACTATGTGATATGTTTGTTATATTTCATCTATTACATATTTTCATGGTATTTGTATACATACATAACAACTGGCGTATGTGCAAATAAAGTCATCTGTCAACTCACACCCCACTAGCCTGTTCTGTGTTTGCTGTCCTAGCCGGAGCCTTGCCCGCTACTGCATATGCACCTGTATGAACTAAACTGATTCAAAACCACACGCCACATCATTTTCCGAATATAAAACGGCAACATAACAGGAAAGATAAATATGATTTAACTTGTGTCCGTCACATACGATTTAGTTTAGTTTCTATGTGACGCTTTTATAAACCAAATAGAACCATCTGTACTATCAGCTTCAAATTACATGTAAATATAATATATTCTACCCTTTGAATGTCAGTGTCATTAAAACCTTTACAAAATGCTAGTTTCCTTGTCGTGATATGAATCACTATTTCCTTGAGTTTCATTCGAACAGTTTTTGGAGACTTCAAAAAATCCTTTTATAAAGGGCGTTGTAGTAATTTTATTTTATTTTTATTCACACCACTTCAAAAGATGGGGATGAGTAGATTCTGACCCAGTTGTCAAGTAAGTGAATTAATCATGCAAGTGAATTTGTCAACGTCTCGGTGTAGATTCTAGCACTATTGTAAAAAACGTTGCCATCAGTTATATACCGTCCTCAAACAAGGAAACAAAATGTTCAGCACTGCATCGGCCGCTTTCATTTCCTCGTGATATTTGTAGGGTGTTTTGTTATTAATATCCATATGCAGGTTGGACTCATATGGATGAATATTCAACTTCCTCAACATTTCGAACCAATAACGCTCTTTAGAATTGCATTTGGTTAAAAGGTTTAAATCCGATTTTCAACATGGCCACCACGGCAGCCATATATACCGTTTTTCGCGATAGATTCAATTTGTACCTACATTTTGGCAAAAGACACAATAACGTAAGTTAATTTAACTGTTGTGTATTACACCAATGACCTACAATAGTATATTCGTTCTTGCAGATTTATATATATGTAGGTATTGAGTGTTGATACTTTTGTCCTCAGCAATTATGCAATAAAACATTAGAAGAGCAATGTTGACAGTTGCTTTGTTACGTGAATGTCTTTGTTTTCATTTTCAAAAGTCAACTCTCGGTCCAGGTGAATACAGTGTCGAAGCGCTATTTCGTGTTATTATACTTGTCAGGGCTCAAAGTCTAAAAGTCTAACAGCCCTATTGCAATCATTCTGTTTATTATTATTTATTATTTATCATTCCCCCGTTTTCTTTTGTGTAATGCATTTTATCATTCTTCTCAGTATTTGTCTGCCAAAACATGCTCCTCTCAAACTATCATATCAAACCCTTACAAACTTTTAATACTTTGGTCCATGCACCACACAACAACGTAACAAGAAATTTATTCTTTATGAAAGGAAAGTTACCATGTAAAGCATTTTTTTAAATTTTCTGACATATTGTTATCGGCTGCTGAAGAAATTCTGTTCCTGGTCATGTGTCAACAGTCACCTGATGTGGCTGTCATATCGGATTCAACATGTTCAGAGCTTATTTGTTTTGTATTTTGTAGGTTAGATATATTCTGCAGTCGTTTCCTCCGAATCTAACAGCAGCAGTAGTTTTTCACAGATTGTTTCCGTACTGTCTACATCTAAAGACTGTAACCGCCTTTCGATATCTCGATTGGTTGAGGCCATCTTGGATTTTACTTCTGATCTAAAATTTATCATAAGGTAAATTGTATCTTCGTCTAGGAAAGCCTTTTAGATGCAAATTAATATTTCTCACACGATTACATTGCAAACCAGCTATCTGATCAGTTTACATATTATACATATTACATATTGGCATGAACCATCATCTATAGACTAGAAATTGTGTGTTCTTAGTTGTTTGCCAAATGTCACGTCGTTTGGTGGTCATATTGGAATGAACTCTGAATGCTTTAATTCAACCGCATAAAACACCATATATCTCAGAAGCTATTTGCCAAGCAGCTTTCGTCATTAGATCCTGATCAATTTCGACTGGTAGTGCCGCAGTAATAAAGCTTCAAACAAAACGCTACAGTTCCTACGTTGGCTTTAAGGCGGTGAACGGAGCTTTCAACGAATTTTATTTCCTCTTTTTTCGACACAATGTCGAAGCGTCTGTAAAAAAGGGAAATATCCTAGCAAATAACACGTGAGAATACAGATATGTGTTTATCCGTGGAAGGATATATGTGGAGTCACCACAGGCCTTCTTAGGTCTCCAGTGTACAGCATGGCTGAGTACCCAAGCCGGCCATACAGACAAAAGGACGTGGGAGGTTAGAAATAAAAGAATATGTTTTTATATATAATTCTGAAAGTCCATTATTGTAAACGTACGGGGTTTTGTTGTTGTTAAAAAGGTGACAATGAAATCCAAGTAACGGGAATAACTATGAACATTGTATACCTTATTCACCTAGAACCACATTTGTTTAATCTTGCTGGCTGTGCTTGGGGGATTAGTTGTTTTGATTTGAGATCATATGTTTTCCGAAATATACTTAAAGCCATAAATTTAGGCTTTGCTATAAATTGAGCTACACTTACAAAACACTTAGCTTATAAGTGTTAGGCCGGACAGCCTAACTGGCATTGTGCATTCTGGACAACCTTTATTTCGATACCGGAAGTCACAAAAGTCAAACAGGAAGTACTAACAACTAAGTTCCAATGTTAGCCTCAGCAATGACGCACGAAAGGTGAGCCTGTGTAAAAGGGTATCAACCTTTATTTGCTCGCATCAATATTTATTATTTGATGTTCTTCTTCCGGATAGGCGGTTGGTTGGTTGGTTTGTTGTTTAACGCCGCACTCAGCAATATTCCAGACAGCGGTCTGTAAATAATCGGGTCTGGACCAGACAATCTAGTGATTGATATCATGAACATTGATCCACGCAATTGGGACCGATGACATGCATCAACCAAGTCAGCGAGCCTGACCACCCGATCCCGTTAGTCGCCTTTTACGACAAGCATAGTCGCCTTTTAGGGCAAGCATGGGTTGCTGAAGACCTATTCTACCCCGGATCTTCACGGGTCCAGGATACGCGGAGGTATTATGCTCCATGACGCAGTGTTCATTTGCAGTCTAGAGCGAAGACATGTAGTTGGTGTCATGTGTGATCCTGAGACAGTGTCTCTTCGTAATTATCGTAATCATATTAATTTTAGATTGCTATATTTAACCAATTTTGACTTTTGAGTTAGATAAGACTGCCAATTAAACCTAATCTAGTACCCGTTTAAACATAAATCAAAGCTATCATAGAGTTCACATATTTGTCATGTTAAGAGTTATGTGGGAATTGTGGTGGATGGATGTTTAAGTATTCCATATAAACGTTTGGCTTTTATTACACATGACAGGCGATTACATTTTCACTGGTATAATAAAGATGGTTTAGCTATCTCTCAGTATACTCACAATTCCTGCTGTGACCACCCATGCACAGATCGCCATCCTCAGAACACTCCTTCAGTCCTTCAGGAGTCCCCGACTGATTCTCGTCACTACTGTCCTCGGTTGGCTTGTCACATCCGTTAAACAGCAAAATAAACGATAGGTGAATCATTCAGTCAAATGACAAGCAGGAAATATTTTTTATATGAATATAACTGGCAATAATGAAGTGGAAACTGAATATTTTCCGGATAGGTACACAAACAGATCGGGTAGTACACAACACATACACACACAGATTATAGAAATTGTATAGGAACGTTCACAACACGGACACAAAAACACATACACACATATGATATACAGTATAGGGACATACAGACACAAAGACACACAAAACATATGCACAGAACACAGACACACTCATACATAGACACACAGATACACGCGCGAGCACATACATACACCGTTACGTCATTACACATGCACACACACCGTAACATCACACATACACCGTCGCATCACACACACACCGTCACATCACCACACATACACACACACCGTCACATCATCACACATACACACACACCATCAAATCATCACACTCACACACCGACACATCATCACACATACACACACACCGTCACATCATCACACATACACACACACCGTCACATCATCACACATACACACACGCCGCAACATCATCACACATACACACACCGCCACATCATCACACATACACACCGCCACATCATCACACATACACACACCACCACATCACCACACATACACAGACACTGTCACATCATCACACATACACACACACCGTCACATCATCACACATACACACACCGCCACATCATCACACATACACACAAACCGTCACATCATCACACATACACACACCGTCACATCATCTCACATACACACACCATCACATCATCACACATACACACACACCGACATATCATCACACATACACACACACCGCCACATCATCACACACACACCGACACATCATCACACATACACACACACCGTCACATCATCACACATACACACACACACCGTCACATCATCACACATACACACACGCCGCCACATCATCACACATACACACACACCGCCACATCATCACACATACACACCGCCACATCATCACACATACACACACCACCACATCACCACACTTACACACATACCGCCACATCATCTCACATACACACACACCGTCACATCATCACACAAACACACACCGCCACATCATCACACATACACACACCACCACATCACCACACTTACACATACACCGCCACATCATCACACATACACACACACCGTCACATCATCACACATACACACACACCGTCACATCATCACACATACACACACACCGTCACATCATCACACATACACACACCGCCACATCATCACACATAAACACACACCGTCACATCATCTCACATACACACACCGTCACATCATCACACATACACACACACCGACACATCATCACACATACACACACACCGTCACATCATCACACATACACACACACCGTCACATCATCACACATACACACACACCGTCACATCATCACACATACACACACACCGTCACATCATCACACATACACACACACCGTCACATCATCACACATACACACACACCGTCACATCATCACACATACACACACGCCGCCACATCATCACACATACACACACACCGCCACATCATCACACATACACACACACGGTCACATCATCACACATACACACACACCGTCACATCATCACACATACACACACACCGTCACATCATCACACATACACACACGCCGCCACATCATCACATATACACACACACCGTCACATCATCACATATACACACACACCGCCATATCATCACACATACACACACACCGCCACATCATCACATATACACACACACCGCCACATCATCACGCATACACACACACACCGTCACATCATCACACACACGCCGCCACATCATCACACACTCACCGCCACATCATCACACATACACACACACCGTCACATCATCACAAATACACACACACCGTCACATCATCACACATACACACATCGCCACATCATCACACATACACACACACCGTCACATCATCACACATGCACACCGCCACATCATCACACATACACACACCACCACATCATCACACATGCACACACACCCTCACATCATCACACATACACACACCGTCACATCATCACACATACACACCGCAACATCATCACACACACACACACCGTCACACATCTACACACACCACCACATCATCACACACACACACCCTCACATCATCACACATACACACCGCCACATCACCACACATACACACCGCCCCATCATCACACACACACCGCCACATCATCACACATACACACACACCGTCACATCATCTCACATACACACACACCGTCACATCATCACATACACACCGCCCCATCATCACACACACACCGCCACATCATCACACATACACACACACCGTCACATCATCTCACATACACACACCGTCACATCATCACACATACACACACACCGACACATCATCACACATACACACATACCGTCACATCATCACACATACACACACACCGTCACATCATCACACATACACACACACCGTCACATCATCACACATACACACACACCGTCACATCATCACACATACACACACACCGTAACATCATCACACATACACATACACCGTCACATCATCACACATACACACACGCCGCCACATCATCACACATACACACACATCGCCACATCATCACACATACACACACACCGCCACATCATCACACATACACACACACCGTCACATCATCACATATACACACACACCGCCATATCATCACACATACACACACACCGTCACATCATCACACATACACACACACCGTCACATCATCACACATACACACACGCCGCCACATCATCACACATACACACACACCGCCACATCATCACACATACACACACACCGTCACATCATCACACATACACACACACCGTCACATCATCACACATACACACACGCCGTCACATCATCACATATACACACACACCGTCACATCATCACATATACACACACACCGCCACATCATCACATATACACACACACCGCCACATCATCACGCATACACACACACACCGTCACATCATCACACATACGCCGCCACATCATCACACACTCACCGCCACATCATCACACATACACACACACCGTCACATCATCACAAATACACACACACCGTCACATCATCACACATACACACATCGCCACATCATCACACATACACACACACCGTCACATCATCTCACATACACACACCGTCACATCATCACACATACACACACACCGACACATCATCACACATACACACATACCGTCACATCATCACACATACACACATACCGTCACATCATCACACATACACACACACCGTCACATCATCACACATACACACACACCGTAACATCATCACACATACACATACACCGTCACATCATCACACATACACACACGCCGCCACATCATCACACATACACACACATCGCCACATCATCACACATACACACACACCGTCACATCATCACACATACACACACACCGTCACATCATCACATATACACACACACCGCCATATCATCACACATACACACACACCGTCACATCATCACACATACACACACACCGTCACATCATCACACATACACACACGCCGCCACATCATCACACATACACACACACCGCCACATCATCACACATACACACACACCGTCACATCATCACACATACACACACACCGTCACATCATCACACATACACACACGCCGCCACATCATCACATATACACACACACCGTCACATCATCACATATACACACACACCGCCACATCATCACATATACACACACACCGCCACATAATCACGCATACACACACACACCGTCACATCATCACACATACGCCGCCACATCATCACACACTCACCGCCACATCATCACACATACACACACACCGTCACATCATCACAAATACACACACACCGTCACATCATCACACATACACACATCGCCACATCATCACACATACACACAAACCGTCACATCATCACACATGCACACCGCCACATCATCACACATACACACACCACCAGATCATCACACATGCACATACACCCTCACATCATCACACATACACACACCGTCACATCATCACACATACACACCGCAACATCATCACACACACACACACCGTCACACATCTACACACACCACCACATCATCACACACACACACCCTCACATCATCACACATACACACCGCCACATCACCACACATACACACCGCCCCATCATCACACACACACCGCCACATCATCACACATACACACACACCGTCACATCATCTCACATACACACACCGTCACATCATCACACATACACACACACCGACACATCATCACACATACACACATACCGTCACATCATCACACATACACACACACCGTCACATCATCACACATACACACACACCGTCACATCATCACACATACACACACACCGTAACATCATCACACATACACATACACCGTCACATCATCACACATACACACACGCCGCCACATCATCACACATACACACACACCGTCACATCATCACACATACACACACACCGTCACATCATCACACATACACACACACCGTCACATCATCACACATACACACACACCGTCACATCATCACACATACACACACACCGTCACATCATCACACATACACACACGCCGCCACATCATCACACATACACACACACCGTCACATCATCACATATACACACACACCGCCATATCATCACACATACACACACACCGCCACATCATCACATATACACACACACCGCCACATCATCACGCATACACACACACACCGTCACATCATCACACACACGCCGCCACATCATCACACACTCACCGCCACATCATCACACATCGGTATGGCCGAAATGGGGGCAACACAGGTCCAAATTGCCAGGTTTGGTTGTACACCACTGACAGTAGCCAGGCTGATTCAACG